CCCCTCCCAGCTGTGATGGCTGCTCAGGCAGCAGCAGACACGAAGCTTCTGGAGTTGGCCACTGCCACCTGAGCATGTGGGAGGCAGGAGAACAAGAGCAACAAGCATGGCCAAACACAATCTCTAGGTCTGCTAACAAATTGCATTTAGAACCATGTATTTTAGTCTTCTCTGAGATTTACGACTTGCCACCTCATAACTGTCTGTGACATTGCCACTAAGAACACAAATCAAACACATAGATTTATTTCCAAAATGCATGTTCCGCTGAGTAAATCAGGCAGAAGCGTTTTTAACCACATTGTTACCAACTGCACTGCTGGTGGTTTCAAAGGCTTCATTTCTCACCTGCCTTCCAAGTGTCCTTTTGTTTGCCTGTGTTTAGATACTGACTGGCAGACCAGTGGGATTTTATGTACAGCAAGGTGTTACTTGTTGCAGTTACAAACTGGCTGTAGTGCTCTTTTTCCTCGAGGACTGACCAACTACCCTCAACCAAGAGGTTTCTTCCCTCAGAACAGGATTTATGATTTGGCTCTGGCCCCCATACCACCCATGAGGACTCCTTTACAAGATCCTGCGACAGGTATATCTTCTGCAGTGTGAGCAAGCCAGTTTCTGTGTAACACACCATTTGTGTTTTCCGCTAAGATATGAAATAAAAGCACACAAGCAGTGACAAGTGGCAGTGGCAGCACCAGCCTGTCCTGCTCACAGTTCGATATGCCCCTGTCCCTCTGTTTAGACCTGAGCCTGCTGTGCTAATATGCTCACCCTCACCAACTCAACTGACTACTCACTTAGCTCCTATCTAAGTTTTTTTGGTTTTAGTCCTCCTTTGATCCCAGCTGTGCCATGAGAGCCACTGAAACAGCTTCTGCCTCACTGATGGCCTGTATCTATTATGTGAAGCTGTGTATCTGTGGCTACTTACACCTATATATCTCTTTTATCAGTTTCCTCACTGAGCCTTTAACAAAGCCTTCAGAGCACTTCATTGTATGTATTCGGGCAGGGAGCAATATAAAATTAAGCAGGGAAATCAAGTCACACAAAACAGTCATAAAAAATTTCCTATAGTCTGCCCTCAAGTCATCACAATAGCAACTTCCTCAGCAGAAGCTGAGGAAACTTTGCTTATAGGTTGCACTGTGGAATAGCACATTTTGCCATCCCCACACTTTATGCTGAATAATTATTTTACCTTTGAGATGGCAGCAGCAGAGGTATTCTTGCCTCATCTGGACAGATGTCTATGACACACAGGCATATCTGGAATGGAAAAACTTCTGAAAATGTGACCTGTATTTAAACATTTCTGTAGTCAGGTCCCTGGGGTTTTATGTCCTTCCCAGGTGTTGTGCCTTGTTTCCAGAGCCTGGGATTTCTTCATAATTTCATGAAAGAGTTCTTTTGATGTAGTTCTTCATAGCATTTAATGCAGCACATTTTTCCACATTGATTTTTAGACATGTATTTATTACCCAAGAGCTTTTTGTTTAAAACAGAAAGTTTAAGGGCAGCCACTATTCCAACTAAGGCAGCTGGAAAAATGTCCTCACCACTTAATTTTTTTTCTCAAAAGCCCTTTTAGTTCTTTGAGGCAACAAGCAGTTCACAATCAGCCATCCATAGTCCCTGGAACAGCAATACTGAAAATTTGATCAGTCCCATTCCTGAGGCACTCTGTGCTCCTCTCTGTCCCTGAGGACATCACTATTGGAGTGGGGAGGCCTGGCTGGAAGGCAGAACAGCCAAGCTTTTTAATATCATATTTTACTTTTGTGACCCTACCTGCTCCACCTCATTTCCTTGGCAGCAAACCTTAACATCAATGCCCCACAGGGAAACAGCAGGAGACAGTGAGGGAAATACACTTGCAGAAATCTCTGGATAAAAATCCTCCTATTTCCATCCTAAGTACTGATGTTATTAACAGCAACTCACAATCCTAAAATTTGCAGCATAAACTAGCTCACCAAGCAACTGAGAAGAGAGAAGCAATTAACTTAATGAAAACCCTGGGAAGCTGTCAGATAAGTCGCAAAGATTGCTCCCTTCAACCCAGGGCAGTCTTCCGGAAGCAGTCTGGAGAAAAAGCTCCATATCCATTACCAATTCTCTTCGACAAGCAAACCCAAGAAATAGTGATAAGAATCCATGAATAATTAAGTTTAACCTGATGTTAGCAGAAAGCTAAACTGGACTGGGGATGTTAGACTCTTCATTAGTTCACCGGCAGGAAACAGCCCGGGTCAAATTCATTCTGTAAGCAATTCCTTGGAAACAAATAGAGCTATTTCAGCTCTTTCTTCTGAGTCTCAGGGTAAAGAATCTGCTACATTCTTCCATGGTAGAAAATTAAAAAATAGAACAGCTTGGGTTTTTTTGTGAGTTGCTCACGCTAACAGTTGTTTGTTGCATCACTGCATGCAAACATTTTCTGCCATGGGGAGGCACAGGCTTACAGGGCCTGGGAGGCTGGGCTGCTGCATCTAAAATCTCCCTCCCTGTGTTTCCACACTGCCCTTTATGTGGATTTTCCTCCTCCTTTCCCCAGTCCTCCTCATACCAAAGATCTCTGCTGTCCTACTCTTCCCTCTCCAGGGACTGTACATTCCTTAGTCCTGCTTCCCTCAAGGGTCCTCTTCTTACTCCCCATGCCAAGGGCTGTGTGCATCTGCTAAACAGATGGCAGCTGTGCCATGTGCCCCTCATTTACAGGGTTTGATTTCCCTTCCCTTTTATGCCCACTGATGCCCAAAACAATTCTGGACAGACTGAATTAATCAGAATTAATCAGAGAGGATGATTAGTTTCTCCAATGGCCAGCATTTTGAGCCAAGCTGATCATCAGCCACAGTGAAATAGCTTGAAACAAAGTGATAGCAGAGAAAGATGGTTCAGGGAATGACAAGTTGAGAACTGTTTAGGAAAAACACGCTGTATTGTAATGCATAAAGGCTACCATGGGTCAGCTGCTGTTCAACATACTGTGCATTTGCCATTGCATGCAACGAGGCTGGTATTTAGGTCAATGCAGGCTATGGCTATGGATTGATATGGCCAAGGATAACTATAGATATCTATGGCTATGGATGGCCAATGGATTTAGGCCACTTCCCTGATGAAGCAAAATAACAGGCTCTAAAGATGGAATTGCCTGTCCATATAGGCATCCTGAAGTAAACATCCTAAAACCTCAAGTTCTCTCATCACAGAAGCTGCTTTTGGTGACGAATGTTATTTGGTGAAGAAATTTTTCCTAATATCTAATTTAAACCTCCCCTGGCACAACTTGAGGCCATTTCCAATAGTGTCACTTGTTACCTGGGAGAACAGCCCAACCCTCCCACCCCACTACAATCTTCTGTCAGATAGTTGTAGAGTGATAAGGTCTCCCCTGAGCTTCCTTTTCTCCAGACTAAACACTCCCAGCTCCCTCAGCTGCTCTTCATTAGGCTTGTGCTCCAGACCCTTCACCATCTCAGCTGTCCTTCTCTGGACCCGCTCCAGCACCTTAATGTCTTTTCTGCACTGAGGGACCCAAAACTGAGCCCAGCCCTCAAGGTGTGGCCTCACCAGCGCTGAGTACAAGTGGACAGTCACTGCCCTGGTCCTGCTGGCCACACTACTGCTGATACAGGCCAGGTGCCATTGGCTATCTTGGCCACCTGGGGCACAGGTGACAACGGTGACTCTCATGTTCATCACCATTTCTAACAAGCCTTGATTTTACTTTGAACAAAGAAGGACTGCAAGGTTTTATAGGCTCCCTCATTCCAAAACAGAGCGCACAAAGTGGGGGCTCTCAAAAGCACCATCACTGCAGAGTAAGGATGAAAACCTGGTGGCTTCACATACCCATCATGAAGAAAGGCTTTCTCCTATATTAATACAAATATCTCACGCAGAATAAAAAACATCAAATCTATTTCTAATTAATGTATTTCCTCTCATGATTGTTTTTAATCTACTTGCCAGAGCTAGTAGGATTCACTCACAGCTTGTTCTTTCCTCCCACCAGTCTTTTGGTGAAGTCACACGTGGGCTTTCTACTTGTTGCAGGTTGGACTGAACCCAGGAGTGTTTGTCCAATATGCAATTTTCCAGTTTCTACCATCGGGGGCACCTGAGTGGCTTACTGGCTGACACTCAGAGCAGGAGCACTCCGTTCTGCCTGCTTTTAAGTTAACAGACTGAATTTTCAGCTTCAGAAGCTTAGGCAGCACAAAAGTTCAAGCTCTTTCCCTCCCCCGTCTCCAAGGTTCAGTTCAAGCACATGGTGAAAAGGAAGATGAGAACAGGTAGCAGGTTAAGGCTTTTGTCTCTTTCTGCTGTGATGTGGGGACAGAAGAGATATATATACAAAGATATAACAAAGAATGATGTAATATCAGATTGTAATATCAGATGTTCCCTTCACTGCACACTGAAGCAGAAGCAGGGCTGACCTTAAGGAGAATTCGATAAATGGGGTTTGTGGTAGGCAGTATGAGGCTCACACCAGGCACTCCAGCTTTGGGCAGCAGAAATATTCACTCTTTCCCTTTACACCACTTTGCTCCCACACTAAATCCCCTCCAGCTTCAGCATTAGCAGAAACCATACAAAGGGTGGCACAGTCCAATAATCTGCGCACACTGCAAGTGAAGCTTCTCACTAAACTAAGACACATTAGGTTCACTTTTTCTGAATCCTAGTCAGAAACAAAACAGAACAAGAGCAATGAAATTAATCTGGATGTGTTCCTCCCTGTTTAATAAGCAGTCATACAGAGGGGAACCAAAATGCTGGCTCAGGACTCCTGAGCTTACCTTCTGGGCTCTTATTCCTAAAGCAGTGGAGGCATTTCCCTTATTCCAGCAGACAGCTGAAATAAGCATCTTTCCTATATCAAGCTACATGTGGAAGCTTAGAATCTATATAAGGTACAAAAAAGCTACAAGCAGGAGGAATGAGGGGGTGGGGATGAAGGAAGAAGGAGGAGGAAAAGACAGGGGGTGGAGAGTAACACTGGAGAGCAGCAGTGGTCCAGCCCCTCAGAATATGAAAAGCATCACAGGAGCCTCTGGATAAAGACCAGCCTCAGAAGCAAGGAGACAGAGGATTTCTGCTCAGTGATAAAACATGGTGAGTAGGAATTTCGTGATCTCTCTTATTGTTAGCTCTGGTGCAATGGCATTTTCTTTGCTCTGACACTCACAGCCACTCTGAGGGACTGTGATTTTGGGATGACTGCTTGTTTTTGAAACACTGCTTTTTACTTCTTTTTCCATACGTTTGACAAGTGTGTGCCTGTGTTTATATGAATGCGCATTCTATGTCCTTTTAAAGCAATAAATTATAGAGGACAGCTAAAGCTGTCAGCATTAACACTTTGCTGTCTGGTACCAACAGGCTGCTGGCCAGGGCAAGAAAAAATGCCCTGTTTCCTTCTCAAGTACCCAGTGGAAATTTTTGCTCTGCTGCCTTCTCTCAGCAATACAGTGATGATTTGACAGCTCCCTGTGCAGGAGTTGATGCTCCCCTTTTTCATGGCATAATTTAAGCAGTTACATTTCTTTCAGTCTCAGGTAGAGAAGAAAACTGAATGAGGGGTGCAGAGGTTTTGTCAGAGAAGGAGCCTCCTTTTGTCATGGTCTCAGCCTCTTTCTGTCATTCTGTACACCCCATGGGGCTGGGGGGAGCAGTTGGGTGCCCCACATGGGCAGGACTGGGGGGAGCACTGGGTGCCCCACATGGGGCTGGGGGGAGCAGTGGGTGCTGCTGTGCCCCCAGGGATCCCTCCTGTCAGCACACAGCAGGACAGTGTGCTGAGAGTAGAAACGTGGTTAATTTTACTATGAAAAATCCTGAGCTCCACAAAACAGTTGTCAGGGCTTAAAGGAAGGTTCAGACTCCCCTATAGCACATTGCTAATAAGATTAAGCATTTAACGACACATCTTTCTAGTATTCTACTGAGGGAGTGTAAGATTTTACTTTGTGTGCTCATCGCAACTAAGGCTGAAGAAAAAACCCACCAATGTGCTTTTTGTTGGTTCTTCATGGAAAGCCGTTGCCTGACCTAAATGTATATGCAGGGAATTAGGCATCCTGGGTTAGCCAAGAGAGACAAATGGTTAAGGGGAATGATAACATACAGGCACTAAGGATGACGAGAGTACTCCTCCTGAGGAGAGGCATGATCTCAATGCAGGTTTGTGTGTCACACAGCCGCCTTTAAAAATAAACATTCTGCTGTTTCCTGAATGATGACTGTCCCTGATTACATCCTCCATCCTTCCCACCCTCTTCTTTTTGCTTTATAATGGAGATGAGATAGTGGCAGAGTAATCAGTTTAAGGGAGAAGATGAGCCCTGCTTTAAAATCCTCTTTGGTTTTTACCAGAAGAACAGTTACATTTATTTGCTTACTAGAAAACAGCGTTACAATAACTGCAGGGAGGGTATCACTACCCTTGAACAAGAAGACATTTTTTCTGCTTTGCAATTAAAAAGCAAATTAACAGAATGGAATATATGTTCATTATTATTAGCAAGTATTTCCACTATTAACTTTTATCTTCTGAAATAGAGAGTTAATGTTTTTGACTGCAAATAAACAGTCTTTATTAAAAAAATATCCCCCCCACACACTTTACTGGGAGCACCAGCTGTTCTTTATGCATTGCTGATTAGATCCTAAGCATTAAAAATTAGTATTGTCCACTGACTTTGAAAGTAGCTGTGGCTTTCACCACCTCAAGCTTGGTTGGTTTTGCATTTTAGGATTTACAACTGGTGCACAGCAAAAATCCTCCCAATGTTAACTGGGCATAGGAGGGGAGAGCCTCCCAGAGTACTCCATTCTTTTTGCTTTTCCCATCACACAATTTCTCAAGAAATATTTAAAAAAAACTTTTCATCTTCAAATGCATTCATTTTAAGCATAATTCGTGTCCAAATGCCCAAATCAGATAAATGTTTTCAGGAAATTTAATTATGCTGCTGCTTCTGAGGGGAAAGCAGGGTAACATTTTCAAAGGTACCTCTGATACTCAGCATCTTAAGTCTGATTGATATGAAGCCACTTGTGGAAAAGGGATTTTGGACTCACTCCAAACTTGTATCCTGAAATATAAAAACAATCCAAAGAGAGGTTTTCCTTCTTTTTAAATTAAAAAGCCTAAAAGAGTATTCGAAGTTTATAAACTCTTTCATTTAATGAAAGGAAGATGCTTGGAGGGAGGTGAAATTCAGATGCTAAGTGATGCAGAATTCTGCTTCACAAGAGACAGCAAGGCACCAACTCCACCACCTGCTTGATCTAAATGTAAAGAAAGAGCACTCCTATCTCCCCTGCAAAAACACTGTATTCTGAATTTTACTTATTTCTATCTCCAATAGAGGCAGCTGCATATAAATTGCACATCAAACAAACAAGAGTATCCAAGACAGACACTTGATAAGATTTTGGAATAAATGAACCTTAATTATATTTTTTGCTACTTAGGCAAAATTATTTTTGAGCCAAACCTGCCGAAGCCAGAGAGTTCCTCTAAATTTCCTCTTTGAAACACTATTGTTTCTATCCATGCAATCACACTGAAGCAGATACTTCTACTTTCCCATTCGGATGATCTTCCTAGTGCTACATGCAAGAGGACTGATATTCTACCTTTTCTCAGAAGATAACCTAAACAAAACTTTCCAGCTAGTAAGATATAAGATATCAATTTTGACACCAGCTCAAAACCCAAAGCAAGGCTTCCCCCATTCCAGCACAGAAGGAAACTTGTAAACAGCTGAGCCTGGCAAAAAGCTGCAGGGACCATGGACAGAGGCAAATGGGACCCCTCTCTTTGACCCACATGACAGAGGCAATATTTGGACAGTTTGAATCCTGCTTCCACCCATTTTCCTAAGGAATATCTGGTTCCATTGCACTCCTCTTTGGCCCTTGCCTGTTGACCTGGACTTAGGTAGAATTTAGGCCATCTGAATATGGCTCTTATTAACCAGAACAGTTACCTAATTCAGTCTTGTTCAGGTCCTCATAACCCAGAACCATAAGCAATTGCTTTGACTGTCCTAAAACCAAGTTTCCTCAGCCCACAGGAATGTGTTCATCTTTCCATTCTAAAACTCTAATTTACTTCCAGATGAATCACAGATACAGTAAAACCTTCAGAGTTTATGAAAAGGCTGTCACACACCCTGCGCAGATGGTGTATGTTTGAACATGATGTATCTCTGTGTTTTATGAGAAATATTATCCAAATTTAAAACAAAACCTTATTTCCATTATAGTGTAAACCCAAAATCAAGATCTAATTGCCTGCTTAGACACCTGTGAAATCCTAAAAGTGAGAAGCTGGTATGATCAAGCCAGATAAAAGTACTGTTTACTGTGGATGGGAAGTCTCAATGCTGCTGCACCTAACATTGTTGTAAATGACAACTAAACTGTAGCCCAGAACAAGATTCAACGATGTCCTCTATTTAAACCCATGTATTTTGGACAACTAATTTCACAGATACTAAAAAAGAGGTCAAGTTTCATTACCAAAGAAAACATCCAGAGTCTGTTGAAAACAGTATAACATAGTCTCAGTAGACCGACTGCTGGTTTCCACAGGTTTCTGTTTTTCACAGTGATTTTAATTGCAAATTGTATTTCCTTTACAAAGGTGGAAATCAGTCCCTCATATGTCTTTTATCCCTGTGGAAGAACAGATATACTGCAAGTTAAGTTCAAGGGGAGAATAATTAAAAAGGAACAGACAGGCAATAGTGTAGCTGAGTGTAAGGGTCAAGAAATCCCAGAGAAAATGTACCATTTTTTAGATGCCTAGAATAATTTTTCATGGAATTTTGATGAGCTTTACATAAGTACTGGAGGGTAACTTTCCCTTACAGCACTTTAATCTGTTTGTGACTTCACTGGTACAGCTTCTGGGGTTAGAGATATAACTTGTGTCCCTGCAAAGACAAAAAATAGATATCATGGTGTAGTCCATTACAATAAAAAGGGCTAAAATACAGATTATATACATATATATGTCTATATCTAAGATATAGAAAGAGAGCAACATCACATAAACATTTGTTCTGTATTTGGGAAGAAGCTCATTGATAATTTATGTCATATGAGGATGAAGAGAACTCATCATATGGGAAGTTACAAATGTTTTAAAAAGTCTGCAGACTCTGGTGGTCTGTCCTGAAGAGCCCTCAAAGAATTGACTGAGAGGGTCTTCCTTTTGTTGGTGTTCATTCATAATAACATTTTTAATGTGGAAGATTCTCGAAGATGAGACAGTCTTAAAACAGAATAAGCAGGATGACACAATGAACTAGATACTAAGTCTGGCATGAATCCTGTGGGAATATTAGGGAAAAGAATATATGGGATTAAACAGAGACATGAAATAATCAGAATACAAAGTTAGTGGCTAAATATATAGTAGATATTAAAAAACCCAAACCAAACAAAAATCCCACAAAATCTAAATGTCATCTAATGACTTTTTCCCTCATCAGAGGAAACTGAAAAGGTAGCACAGGCTACCATCAGCATATCTTACATTATTATACTACATATATTCTCAGTATAGATGTTATTCAGGCCATTTGGGCTTTCATGTTAAAACTATTTATCTAATCTATTAAAAAAAAAAAAAAAGAAGAACAAGCCCTAAAGTGTCTAGACCCAGTTGTCAGACTGGTTATCCACTGTGTTTCTTATAAGGGAGATACAATTCAGATCAAACATTACTTTATTACAAAGATTATCTAATAATATCCTGAATTCTTAGCTTTACTAAATGTCATAGTTGACAATAAATAAATCCACCTCTAAAAGCCTTTTTAATGCATCTACAGGTAAAGTTCCTAAGTATGTAATATCCTACAAAAGTGACCCTTGGATAATACTCAGAATGGGCAGAAACAGCTGCAGGACTTCAAGGAGTTCTACATAACATTTGCCATGTCACAGACCTCTAAGGAGCTTCTCAGCAGCACCAGGAGCTTCCCACAGGGACACAGTACCTACTTCTATACTTGCAAAGGACTCAGATGTCAGGGACTTCATTTTTGGGATATTAATAACTGGTCTTGCATCAGCCATTTCTGATTGTTTTCACGACCCTGCTGGAGTTCTACACACTGAATCTCTTGTCGATCACACCTTGCTTTTCAGAAGGAGCGTAATCCTGTCCCAGTGACCTATTTCTAAATATGCAAAACAAGTTTCCCGCAGCATCAGTGAACTCCATTTACCTGATGGTGTAGTAAAATGTTTACTGGCTTCCATTAAGAATGCTCTGCAACACTCACACGCAGCCCCAAGTGCAAACAAATGTGCCAACATCTCAATCATACTGACAGACACCCATCTATCACCACCCACCATGTTTTCCAGCGCATGTCAAATATTCACACTCTACCCTTAAGTTTTCTGCCTTTTATCACTGACCTACATTTAGTTGTAAATATTGTTAATCACCTGCTAGTTTGCAGCTTCTGTGAGCAATGGGCTGTCACTGATCTGCCTGCTGGAGCAGAGCTGTGGGTGACAATTCTCAGATCTGCATCTTATGAGGTGCTGCTCAGAGTGTGGACATTCCCAGCAAGCCCTGGCAACTGGAAAGCCTCTGGAGGCTACAGACAGCTGCTGTAGTTCCAGGTAGACTGAAGACTGCTTTAAGTTGTACTTAGGAGTACAAAGGCTTGGCTTGGTGCTGAATTTAAAATCTCCCATTCAGTGTCTCCAATTGTTTAGTTATGACTAAACAATTCAAACCAAGATAAATCATTAGCTGAGATTTCACTAAGGAAAGATCCAAGCATGTTCTTTCAAGAACAGGGCTTGGAGTCACTGTCCTGCTTCCCATTCAGTAAAAATATGTTCTTTCTAGCAGTTTTTAGGAAGTGTTTGCTTCTTCCCTGACCTACCTTTATGTAACTCCGCTGACTTACTCAATATTCAAGTTGATACAAGGCAGAAAAGGATCAGGCGTGCCTGTGGAAACTGCTGGAAAGCTGAAAGCAACGTGGCTAAAATAAAGAATGACTAAATAGATTTATGAAAACATAAACCAGGTTCAAAACCAAACCATATCGGCAGAGCCTGAAACTGCCATTGATAGAGGTACTAGAGTATTTTTAGAAATAGCTAATCAATGCACAGTGCAGATTGAACGTGCCGATGCCTCTGTGTGCTACACTGTTCTTTGGGAATCGGAGATGACTCTTCTGTCATAATTAACAGTGATTTTTCAGTATGGCATTTTTGACTTTTGACAATAAAAGTAGTAGTGCAGAAGATGTTCCATTATGTTCAGGAGGAAGCATAGCAAACCCAGTAATTCAGTTTCAGCTCATTTCCAGGGTAGTACCAAGGTTTATGGATTTTCTATTCACAGGTAAGGATTATTTTATTATAAAATGAGCATCATGAGTCAAATGTTTGATCCATTTTCTCAGGAGATTTCACACACTGAGCTCTCTGTCCTCCTCAAACACACAGATTTATGAGCTGCTGCCTCCCTGATGCACACACTTGCACGGTAAAGTTTCTCAGGAATTGTTTTTCATTGATGCCTCTTCTACTTTCAGAACAGGACCTCTATGTTGTTAAAAGCCATACTGAAGTCATAATCCTCAATCCAATCCCCCTTATTTCTAACATACAAACTGTTCTCTGACCCTCAGCTACCAGTCCATAATGTGTACTGTCTTCTCCTTGCTGGATCTTCCAGCCAACACACCTTCAGCTTCTCTCAATCTGTTTGTCATGCAGTACCAGGACTCAGTGATGGAAATGTCCAGTGACAGACAAACCCAATTCCATAATGCTTCATATCCCTCCCTTTGTTCTCCAGTTGTTTTCCAAATTTACAAGTGCTAGCCACCAACCTCACAGTAGTTGTGTTCTGCTGTTTCCCTTCCAGAAACAGATGTGAGGAAGCAGCATGGAGCTCAAGAGAGGAAAGACCTTCATAAAATCCAGTGTGCAACATGAGAAAGTGCCACCAGTGCATACAGCTCCTACCAACAAAGATGAGATGGGGAAAGACAAAAAGGTAGCTCTAGAGGGAAACCAAAGTGTGGCCGAAGTCCAGCTGGCATGTTTGGCCACACACAAGAGCTACAGATTTTCTACCAGAGCAACAAAGAATGGAGCTGGTGACCACAGCCTGGAAAAATCATCTGGGTCCTCCTACAAACTTGTAAGGAAGAGTAAAACCCACGAGTGCGTTGCTGAGGCAGACAAAGCAGGGCACTGCAGCCCCAGCAGCAGGGCGTGTGAGGAGGGGTTTTCTGGAAAGGGTAAGGGCAGACTTGTCAACAGCATCAGCTTTTCAGGGATGTCCAGCTCCAGCAGTAAGAAGGAGTGTGTGGTCAGCCCCAGCCAGTCTGCCTGCAGCAGTCAGATGATTGATTATAGGAACTTTGTGCCACAGATGCCTTTTGTACCAGCTGTCGCGAAAACCATTCCCAGGAAGAGGATTTCCCTCAAGAGATCTAAGAAAGGGCTCAGAGATATATTTCATATAAGAAAAAATAAACCAGACAGCCTCACATTTCTGGTTGAGAAGGACAAGAACCTGTCCTCTCCAGGTTGCAAGAGTGAGTTGCCTGGGCGTCTTGCAAAGTATCTTTTCAAAACTGGAGAAACGTTTGCAGCTGATTGTTTGTCACAGGACTGCTCAGACAGTGAACTGCAGTCTGACTCCTCCTATGACTGCTGCAATGCCCTGTGTGAAGATGTTGCCTCCCTGAAGAGCTTTGACTCCCTCACCGGCTGTGGGGAAATCTTTGCTGATGAGAGCTCTGCTCACCTGGAGCTGGAGAACAGCAAAGACCTTCTGCTGAGGCGAAGCAAGCACAAAGATAGCCCTGTCATGGGCTCTTTCCAAGGAGGGGTGGAGCAGCTGGCCTCTCCTGGCCAGAATGAGACTGTGGAATTTGCAAAGTTTTGGGACAACATCAACAAATCAGTACGGCTACATCAGAGTGCTCTGTTTGAAAAGAAGCTGCTGAAGATACCTGGTTCTGACACAGAAAAGATTAAAAGTCAGGCTGCCATATTGGTGACAAGCCCCCAGGTGTCACCTGATAAAGAAGGAGACAATTCCAAAGACAGCTCCACAGAAACAGAAACACCGAAAAGTGAAAACCAGGAATCCACATCCACAAGCGATGAGGGATACTATGATTCCTTCTCTCCTGGACAAGATGATGAACTGAAGGAAGCTCAGACCCCTGGTGTCCCAGGTAGATTCCCAAGAGACAGCTACAGTGGAGATGCTCTTTATGAGCTATTCTATGACCCAAATGAAGTCAAAACAAACCCAGTCCTTGATGATGACTTGTGCACATCAGAAACTGTTTCAGAGCAAGCCATTGAGATCCCTCTGTCCATTTACAGCTTTCACGTTGGAGCTGAGGAGAACATGGCTTCCCAACCAACTCTAGACATTATCAGCCAGGGGTTTTTCCACAGCTCGTGGAAAGGCAAAGAATGCTTGCTAAAGCTCTGTGATACTGAGCTCTCACTGACTATGGGGATTATAAACTGGCTGCGAAGACACTCAGGACTCATTTCCTCCCCTGACTCTCTTCAGAGTCCTCAATCACAGCCAGAAAAGTCCAATGATTCATCAGTCCTGCCCAGTCCCAGTCCAGAGCAGGAACTGAGCACAGAAGCTCAGCAGGAGAAACCAAGCAAGGAAGATTCTAATGCATTTAATGTATGTGTGTCTTTGGATGAAAGCAAATACACAGCCCAGGCCTCTTCAGTAAACATTGCTGAAAGAGACCACAACCTGGAGTCCTGCCCAAACACATCTAATCTGGATTTCCAAGGAAGAGAAGGGAGTCACCACAAGGATTTTTCTACAGTGCCTGGGATTGTGGAAACCACCAGATCATCAAGTTATGCACCACAATCACAGGCTAATGGAGGCAACCTGCAGACATCTTCAACTGACAACGAGAAGGTGGCAATTTCATTGGGGTGTGAGACATCTGGAGCTAAAAACCCACTGCCGGAAAAGTTGAACAGAGAGAATGGCTCCCAGAGCTCTGAAAATCCTTCATTAGATGATAATCACGAAGTAGAATCATGTTACTCCTACAAGACTGCTGCAACCTCACTCCTAGATCCCCTTGAGAGGGAGGACAGAAACAAGCCAGTGTATCACTCTCTCTCTATTTCCTGTGACAAACCACCGCAGCCTCTCACCCTCAGACACTTCCAGAGCTACATTAGCCCCACACCAACAGAGAGCAGCACTAACATAGTGCAGCTCTTAGAGCACTGTGTAACACAGGTGGCATCATTAAAAATCAGCTATGAAAACAAGCAGCTGGAGGACAAATACATCGGGAATGAAATGAACAGTATCATTCATAAGATGTCTCGGTACAAAAACAAGTTATTGTTGCAAAATGAATGCAGCTGCAGTGCTCAAAATCCAGAATACACCAGTATTCCTAGCACAAACCAATATAACTACGAGACAAGTTTACAATCCAGCAGTCTGTATTTGAAGCAAAATGGGGAGCAAATTTGCTCTGAAGATCAGAAAAGTAAAGCAAAAATCCTCGATGAGGTCACTGGAAGTAAGATAAATTTTGAATATGCCCAGCTAGATAATCAAGCGCTCTCCTATTTAAAGGACTTCAGTCTCAGCCCAAGTGACTCTGCCTCTGCAACATCTCTTAGCAGACCAACGTTTTTACCTCTCTTTAACTCTGTCTGCTCAGACATACCTGCCACGTTCTCAGGCAGCACTGCTGTCTCTGTAGCTGACTCGCTGCAGCTCCAGGAGGCCAAGCAGCGCAGCTCAGGGCCCTGGGCTTACACAGAGACCCCCTGCCAGGGCCTGGCTGGAAGAAGCGTTCTGTCCCCTCTCCTAGAGGCAGTGGCCCCGGATACAGCAGTGACAGCGAGGAGCCATCAGTAACATACCTGCATGGAGAAGGTGAGTGCTTACAGGAAGTGTGATATTAAATGTGAAATGAGTAACATCTGTTCCCTTTCCACTGAGAGACACTTACAGCAGCTGTCTGATGTATTCGGGGTCTCTCAGCTACGCAGGGATCACACAAGAAAGCCAGGGATCTTGCAATCTTCAGGAAGAGCTGAAGCCAAGGCATGCTCCATATGCAAGGCTTGACAGGCTTCTCAAGAGAAGGATTATAGGGGCTGTGCTGCACCTCAAGCATTTGAAAATCCTTGAACCACACTTCCATAGTATAGGGAGATCCAGAATTTGTCCTCTGGCATAGAGTAAGAAACAGCAGATGAAGCACTCAGCCATTGTGCCAGTTCAGGTTTGGCTGTCACGTGAGGCTTCAGCCCAGAGCAGGTACCATCTGTACACACTGTTCTAACTCTGTGCCAGCAGAGAACTCCTCTGTCCTCCAGCTGCTGAGAGGAATTCTTATAGAAGTACAAAACTTGTGTAAATCCTCTATCATGTGCCCTGCCAAATCTGACAGATTGGCTGGACTCTGCCCAGCCCTGGCACTCTGAGAAGATCCCTTTGGAGGTGGTGGAAGAGGAGAGGAGGCTACAGCAAAGGCCAGGATAGAGAATTAAGGAACAGCTCATTACTGAACAGAGGGACACAGGGAACATAACGCTTCTCTGGCTCTTGTTGCTCACAGTAGTGTGTCTGCTTCTGGTCATCTCTAAAGGCTTCCTAAGCAGCACAAACTAAAAAGGACAATGTTCCTCTCTGCATGAGGCAAGAACATCCTTACATTTTCAAGTCTGTGGAGGGTCAGCCACCCACTTGGCTATTTATATCATTGTGGAAGTGACCTTGCCCACTAACAAGTCTCCCATTGCAGGGAGCAACATTTTTTTAGGGTCTGCATGAAGTTAAGAGCCACAGACTGTCAGTTTTCCATACCCTTTATTAACACATCATTCAGTTATAATCTGTTCATCAGTGAATTAGGTCTTCCTGTCCTGAAAGAAGTGATTCTAGTTTTTTTTCCATTTTTGTTGCAAGCAATGCTGCATTTGTGAAGTTTCTGCTGACTAGCAAGTCACCTACTTGTGTCACTAGATTTTTTAGCAGAACTTGTCATTCAAGAGCACATCACAATCGTTAGAACTACTTGCCTCTTTTAGATATTTCTGAAATTAAAAACTGAGTAACAGGCATGGCAAGGTTTGTGCTAACAGCTAGTATATGTATAAACCAGGGCTAGGTACAGCTTTTTTAGGTTAGAAGAATAGATCAACATATGCATGGCCTGATATTTTTAAGTTGTTGTGAATATTAATCCACAGGGTACTGCTAAGAATATCCCTGCCTTTGCAGGCTAGGAATGCAAAGGGATTCTAATTTTGAGGAGCTGCTTTCTGGTAGAAACAGAGAAGGGAGTCAGAGCAGTGTGACTGTCAGGAGTGGTAACAGACTGTATCTTTACACTGAACAAGACATAACATGAGCAGACATTCCTGGGCTGGGGGCACTTTCTTCGCATTGTATCAAGTGGCAGCTGCTGTGTGACACCACGTGCCAGCACCGACAATACCTGCCAGGGTAGGGATGGGACACAGGTCACAGATGCAGCATCACCTGAGTCTCAGAGAGAAGGCAATTTAATTTTTTTCCAAAAGGGAACTGTTGGTTTTTGATAGAGGTTTATCTAACAGTAAAAGGAATGGCACTTCAGAATATAGATGGAATTTGCATTTTTGTAAGGTGACTTTAAGGACTGGGCTCATTTCAAGGAATCATTTTACTGCAGCCTTGATGTTTGTTACAATTTCTTACAGAAAAAAAAAATTAGACAATAATTAAAATGGCTTTTAACATGGTTAAAAGAACTGGCTCTAGGGACAGATATAAACACCGCCATGTGACTGAGTTTTCCTACGCAGTATCTCTTGCCTGCCCACATTCCCAGATGGCCCACAGGTTTGCCAGAAACTTTAAATCTTTGTGAAGATGACTCAGGATCTTTGCCTTGATCACGGGGGTGGCAGTGTAAGAGAGGCAATACACAAACATGGTGTCACCCCTGAATCCATGGAGACAGACATCACCGAGAAACACTCCTACGCCGGACATGACTGTGCAAACCCCAAGAGCCTGTACGTAAAGAATGCTTTAAAATGCCTCGCTCGGGAGCTGTGAGAGAAGTGATGGATACAGAGGTGGCTCCTGCTTTGTTCCTCAGAACAAATGCAGCCCCTGCTCCTGCCATGGACTCTCAGATCTGACCTGAAGGAGGTGGGAAGAAGAAGGTCAACTTTCTTGCCGTTTGTCATGGGGCACAGGAAAAGCTCATATCAAAAGCCATGAAAATCTCCAGGTTTCACCAGTCCATCTTCACATGTCCCAGTGCCCACAGTAACAGATGAGCCCATCCTCTCTGCTCCAACTGGTGTGCAGGGTTCCCCTGAGCCATGCCTGGTCTCTGGGGCTTCGCTACCCTGTGATTAAGAATGGTACAAGAAATGCCAGTCACAGCTTCTCCTCCATCTTTCCCTTCCCCGGCATTTTAGAAAGAAAGCTGCAAATGTCTTATGTCTGAGCTCACCAGGAATTTGAACCCTGGTGGTAAAGGAAACCCAGGGGTAAATGGCATCCTTACGTGGGAATATAGAAAGATTATGTAGAAGGTGGGAATTACCAGTAGAAAGTGCAGTAAAAGGTATAATTTTCATTCTTCAGTATCTAAAGGCTAGGATTTAGTGAATGCAGTCCAACTCCTGAATACAGAGAGGATTTTTAGATCTACACATTCATGGATCATAGAAAACAAGCTGCAGACGTCTGTGCTTTTCGATCAGATGTTTTTCAGCAGGAAATTTCATCTTCAACAAGGAAACAGTCCTCAAGCAGTGCATTGGGATATCTTTCCCAACTCTGAAGTCTCTGGAACTAACCAAACAGACAACACTGCATATCATAGCAACTGGACACAGCTAGAACAAAACACTCTCTGCAAACAACAGCATTTCAGACCACTGAGCTATTTCTACAACCTAATGGGGTTTGAACTGCATCTTCCATTAACTGGTAGATGTGGCAAAGCAATAAAACCCATATGTGCCCCCAATAATATGTGCTCACTTCATTGAAATGCTGAACTGCCACATTATGCACCAGTTGAAGACTTTGGATGTGTTTCAGTGATAGCCCTGGAAGGAGTGCATTGCAATATGCTTGCCCTCAGGTCAGCAAAAAATACATAACTGTCAATCAAAGAAGGATTGCTATAATAGATAGGGCAGCTGTAGATAAAAGGAGACAGTATTGCATGTGTGATTGCTGTTATCAAGGAACTGAGATTCAGAAGCAGATGAAATACAGCCCAGGCACTGCAAGGTGACAGAATAATGTGTATCTGATACTTACCAGTTGAAGGGCTACCCACAGTTTAGGCAATTCCTGTAATGCTCTTTATTCCCTGCTCGTTCAATTTTATTACTTCCTGGTTCAACTTTATTCCCGTTCTCTTAAATAAAGTCGTATTTCTTCCAGACAGATAATTTCTCAATCTGTCAGGCATAGGGAAGGCAAACTGCAATATTTGGATTTGATAAAAAGGAAAAGCAGAGTGGAGCCTCATCTGCATATAGGCAATTGTCTAATAAACTACAATATTAATTTTCAAAATGCCCAGAGATACCTTAATAGGTGAAAAATAAAGGCAGAATCCCTGTGCACACAGGAGGAAAGTGCATGGTAACATTCAAAGTCTGGTGTAAGAAATCCTCGTGTTTCCATGCTCTCTCTATGGCACAGCAAAAGGGTCATCTCTCAAGTCTCACATGATAAATTTTAAAAACAACAAAGTGTAGAGACAGCCAGCACATTTTCTGCATTGGAAGTGCCTCTGGCTCTGAAACATACACCTGTATAAAGTCAGATGCCCAGATGAGGTTGCAGTGAACTCGATATTGAAATCTCATCTGACAGTCCAGCAGCCACACACACACTGCTGGTCAGAGAAATACACCACCAGGTACAAATGCACTGTTTGTCACATGTGGTGCTGTGCAAGCAAAGAGCAGGGAGACAGAGGTGACAGGTCACTGCCTCTGCTAATACATTTGAGAGTTAGTCACCATGTGCCCAGATACTTGGGTTAAATGCTAAATTAAACGATTTTCTCCTTCATTAAACACTGTTGCTTGTGGACTTGGCTCTGTCTCGCTGTACTGTCTCCATGGTACTTTGTCATCAATGCTCACTCTACCCAAAATCAGAATTCTATCAGGAGAAAGAAATGTTCTTGCCAGCTTGCTTTCTAGAGAAGGGGTTTTCCACACAGTTATCAGCACAGATAATCCCTCAAATGGCAGATGCACTATAATGTGTTTCATTTTAAAACTGAAGAAATTGATTTGCTGCTTTACCTGCTATTGCAGCGGGATGGTTTCCATGGATACAGCCTTAGAGGGACTCCATTTTTCCCCTGTTGATAACTGTACAGAAAGCTAAATTCTCATCTTCATTGCACCAGCATAAATTTGAAGCCAGGAAAATGATTACGAGATTTAACCTTGAGAGCAGCAATTGGCTCTCAGTCTCCTTCAGCCTCAAATTTGAGATTTGCAGGGGGATGGCAACGAAGGGAAAAAAGAAAGGAAAAACAGTTTCTGTGGATAGCAGCATAGGCTGAGGGACAGGAAACAAACACAATGCCTCTGTGTGAGAAATGGGGAGCAGTCAAGGCAGAATGCAAACACTTTAACTGCTTATTCAGAGGTTTAATGTGTTCTCATTTAACTGCAAAAATACAAGTCAAGTTTGGGCTATATAAGTTTGACTATAGAAGACCTTAGAATTATCTGCATGGCATTGGGCCTTTTGTTTAGAAGAATCAGTTGTTACCGTTCTGCAGAAGACCTTCTTCACTTCAGTTTTGCTGAGATGGTCAGGAAGGCATAAGGGTTGGGAAGAAGGGGGAAGCAAGACTTGTGTCCAGTTACAGAGGCCTCCAAACAACC